GTCAGCTATCAAAAGTAACTTCTGAGAGAGCAAGTTTCTGCTTGAACTTTCTGAAATACGAACGTTATCAAATATAATAACGTTACTTCAATGCAGTTACACTGTGTAAGCTCATTAAGCATTCCGTATTTAAACTGAAATATCCTACAGTTATTACATAGTACAAAGGTAGCGATCTTAAAGTATTGTTATTCAGTCTGGTCTCATTAAGTATGTTATTGCTCTTGGATTTCAGTTTAAGTTCATGTTTTACTTTAGATCTATTTCCTTTGGTGCGACTTACTTAAAGAGAAGATTTAATCAATGGCAGTTTCGCCGATATTCATCTCATGTATATCACTTGCATCTCTCAATTAAAAAAAAAAGAGGAAACATGACAAGAAATATAGGTGCTTAGAGACCTTTTTCTACCTCTGCCAATTCAACTACTTCCTTGCTTGGTCGTCTTCGTCGTCGCAAATACCTGACTCCTGCAAAGCCGATAGAGCAAGCTATGAACATGAACAGAGCGACAGAAATTCCGAGAATTGTTGCTTGGAAAGAGCTGGATTCTTGGTCAAATATGCTGTACTCATTCTTTGGTGGATCGTTTTGTTCCAGGTTTTTGGTAGGTGGAGTCAAGTCTTGATTCTAGAAAACAAAACCGAATAGCAAAGTGGCGAAAACAGAGAAATTGTAATAAATTCTTAGTTTTCGTTTGTGTAATCCTTGGACACACATTACGAATGACAGAAAATTGGGGGCACAGGAACATACTATGAATATGTTACCCTTTTAATATGAAAAACACCTTTTGGAGCAAATGATCACATAAAATCTGCCAATCTGTTTAACAATTAGATCACAAGCAATCGTTCGCATAGAAATCGAGAGCGAATAATTTAATTTAAGCTATGAATTCTACGAAGTCCAATTCACAAACACTTCGAAAAAGCAAAGAAGAAGTCAATATTTTGTTAACAACTGCACACCACTAAGCTGCTCACTATCTACAACCGAGATTAAAGATAATAAATAGCCTAGCAGAGAAAAACATTCGCGACAGAACGCAAGTAGATTTAAACTAAATGATGTTGGACTTACACACCTCTCCGGGAAACACTTCGACAGAGGCGCGAAACCTTTCTGGTCTTCCTCTTTGCAAACTCTGTCGGAGCAGGGATGGCGTAGTGGTGGGAGCGCTCGGCTCCCACCAATGCGGCACGGGCTCGATTTCGGTCCGGTGCCATACTGGGTTGAGTTTGTTGTTGGTTCTCGCCTTGCTCCGAGAGTTTTTCTCCAGGTTCTCCGCATGGCTAGAAATCTCGGACATCAGTGGAAGGTGCTAAGATTTGATCTGCCACTCAAAGAAGTTAAATTCGCGCACGCCATCGGCTGGCAAGAAACATGCAATTAAGCGTGACATCTGAACAACACGGCGTCAACTCCAGCAATGCCTACTCGTGCGAAGAGATCGATCGGGTTTTCGCTGATTTAAAGTTTTGTGGGGCGTTTCTATAAAGTAATTTATTTGAGTGTTTGCCAAACGGCTAATAGAGATAATTTTATGGTTGACTGTGTTCAGTTCTGATTCCTTGCTTTGATTTTCGCGCCGCGTTTTCGGCAGAGCACGGTCTCAGATCCCCCAATTATTTAGGTTTTGGGGGCAAATGGACTCAAAAAGAGGCTGGAACCTAGAAAGCCAGCTACCCACGGAAAAACAACAGGGCTGATCAAGGAAAGGCATGCGCATTTGCGGCTAAAGACAGGAATTGCACCACACAAAATTATACTCCGGTTAGCCTAAATACCACTTTGGTTAGCCTAAACAGCACTCCGGTTAGCCTGAGTAGCGTTTCGGTTAGCTTAAGTTTGCGCTGATCATGACTTGGAAATGGTTAGGTCTTTCATAGGGTGCAATTCCTGTATTTAGCTGCATGTGGAAAGGCAAAGAAGTGTACTACTTTTCTGTTGGATTTCGCTGCACGGTTTTCCAGAATATCATATTTCGTCGACCAGAAAGCACGAAAATTACAGAGAAACAAGTCCTAAAAACGCAATGGATACAAAGTCCTCAGAATTGAGATTCACTGCATCTCATAGTGTGGCTTCGACGGTTTAAAAATCGCAGTGAACAAAGTAAAGTTGTTACAATCTAAAGGTTTTAGGCGAAAGGACATCTAGGGAGAGCCGGTGGTGTTGTTCTCGCGCTGTCATACTGCCATACTGTTACTACAAAACGTCATCTGTATTATTATACTTGAAAAACACAACGATTACAACATGGAAGCCGACAATTTTCCAGGAATATTTTGGGTCTCGGGTCATACCAAATGACATTCAGTGAACATCTGGGACTTTGCACTGGAGTAAGGAGGTAAGCGGAATGTTAAATCTGTTTTCTCAGTTAAGTCTCTACTAAGTCGTGAGGAATTGTGTGACTCGCGCTTTTTCTTAATCTGGCCTTCTCGACTGCGCACGCGTGTCCGAGATTTCTAGCCATGGGTTTTCCTCTCTTCGCAAAAACCAAATTCCAATTCGACCAGGGCAGAGGACCCGCTTGTACTTTATTTTTATTTATTTCATTTCCGGAAGCGCTGGGATATTTATCTTCGAATTCGAAGAAAGGGCAGAAACTTTGCTTTCATCCTGAGATGCTTGCACAAGCAGAACAAACTGTCTGAGGTTACGCTGTCTTGGTAAGTGTGATAAACGTGTTATTTATTCAGTGGATAGTTCTAAGACGATGGACAGTCCCTCTTTCGCCTAGTCCGTTGAGCGTGACGCGAAAAAAACAAAAAAACAGAGCGACGGAGAAACGGACGCGCGGAATCTGGAGGCGAAAAGCGCTTCCTCCTTTCCTTTTGCGTGCTGAATGACTGTAAAAATTTAGATACTTACCGTGCGAGATTTGAGATATGCACTGGCATTGAGATAGATATCATCGGAGACAAACTGCGTCACGTTCGACAAACAGCTCACTACATCAAGACTGAAACCATCTTTCTTTATTGCTGCTCCAAATCCGTGTTTGTCCTCGAAGAACTGAGCGATCGATAGCTCTGAGTTGCTTTTCCTCTTAATAAACTCGACCGCGGTAAACATCTCTTCCATAATTCCGTCTACCTTTCCATTCTCCAACGAAGAGTAGGCTTCATGTAGGCTTTGAAACTCTGACGAAAAAGGAAGATGTTCTATTAAACTCCAGAGGTACATGTAGAGTTCACTTGTATCCGATAAAAGGTGTGACGGTCAAAACCGCAATAGCCACTAGTCTTTCATTCGAGAATGATTCAATGGATTTTAGGCTCGTGTGAAAAGAACAGCATGTCATGGATGAAGCTTTATCATGATCGGATAATTAGTCAGGCCAAGTCGCTTGATTGGCTCTCAAGAATAAAATTACGGCAATTAATTGGAAATGAGATATACGCTATAGTTCAAAATCATAAAAAGCTACATGGCTTCACCTTTCATGTCGGCGACAGGTAGAAGGATTGGCATCATTCTTTTTTTCATAAAAACATCCAAAATGAGAGCAAAAGTAGTAGTTATTTCTGAAGCACTTAGGAAGTATGCAAATTTTGGCAAATTACTTGGCTCAAAACAGATTGTATATCGTAATGGTATATCTATAACTTCACCGAAAAGCTGCGGCAGAATAACACCGTCCATTTTTCAAAAACAACTCGTATAAATACTGCTTTTAACCAATCCAAGCTCGTGTATTTTTCTGCTGTATATATAATGTATATATAACTCACCAGTGATGTTTATTCCAAGATTTACAGCCCGTTTAAAAGCAATGCTCTCCCTCGGCACACCAATCTGAAAAAAATATATATTAATTGCTTAACAACGCAACATCACACGTGAAATTAATCTTGGTGGCGAAAAAGGGTACTTTACTAAGTTTACCGGCTTGAAAGTCAAAATAAAATATTTTAACCGACGGAGAAATAAACTACGTGATTTGGAAATAAACAATCTAGCTAGTCCCACTGTTTTGTTTAAATAAATAAAATAAATAGGTTTATTTAAGTGTCACTTGTATTTAGCACTGTTTTGCTAACTAGGGACACAGTAAATAAAATAAACAAATATTGCAAACAGGACATAAACCATTGAGAATTCCAACTGGTAGGAGGCCGACCAGTTGGCTCTTTACACAACGCGGTCGAGGAGTTGAACTCGGGACTGTCAAGAACAAATCCAGATAGCGGTAGGGTGGAGGATTTGAACCAGGAACCTCCAGATTTCAAATCCAGCGCCCTAAACCACTCGGCCACGTCTCCTCCACCAGTCCACGACTTCACAGCATAAATTGGCCTGTACCGATAAAAATGGCTTGAGGTGTTTAAAATTTAGATTAAAAATATTTCAGTCAGTAAAATCAAGATGCATAACTCTAAACATCCATCGCTCTAGGTTACACAGTTTCCCAAGGAGTGAATCGTACTAACTCACCGTTTTTCCCGTGGTCACGTCATATCTCTCCACACTGACCGTGACGTTCGTCAAAGCACTGGAAAGTGTGGCTGTTAGTATTGAACAGACTGTAATACCAGTCATTATCCACACCACGGAAAATAGTCTGCCACTTATAGACTTTGGAGTCTTGTCGCCATATCTAGATTAAAATAAATAGACAACAAAAGATGAAAGCTAAGATACACGGTTTGGATGATCAGACTCGACAGTTACTCAAAACCAAAACCGCATCCTTCTGAATAATTTAACTGCGCTTTCCTATGAGTTACTGATGTCATTTAAAATAAACATTGAAAAAGACTGCAAAATGAACAGGTTTTTAAACAGCTTTTTTAATGCGAAGCATATTGCTTAAATACGACTGTTTGTACTTAAGTTGGACGTAAATATTTTTGAAATACAATTTATTTGAACATGAGAGTAAGGTGATAGGTATGTAAGACTGCCCTCAAAACACATTTTTTTCTTAACGTGGTCTACACGAGCAATTTTTAGATGACAATTCGTATTTGCTCGTGTAAACGAGGAAAACTAGCCAGTTTTTACGTGGCAAATATATTTTCTGAAAAGCTGGCGTGTTGGTTTTTGTCACATACGAAAAATTGCTCGTGTAGACGACTCGTCACATAAAATGTGGCAAACATGTTCGTTAGCGCTATATATTCTGGAGGGCGACTAAGCAGCCTTGCTCTGTTTCTGCGTACCTCTGCTGTCCAAAGTCTTTACTGGCGCACTAAACTTTGAACTATTGACAAATTTTTGCCCTACCATCTACACGATCAAACAGATTTGTCGCATAAAACTGCCTGTATGGACCAGACTTTAATTACTTTGTATTAGCTGAAAAAGCTGAAACGGCTGGCAACTGTCTGTGTAGAAGTTAATAAGTCTTTTTTACAAGACGCAACTTTATATAAAGTATCAAAAGACTAACAGCATCAAATTTTCACCTTTCTCGACCTCCGGCAAAGTTTGTTTAACAGAGGATCTCATCAAAAAGCGTGTTGGATATTTTTTTCCTCAGCGTGCTCTCAGTGTTTCCGCTTTATCGTGAAAGTTTAAATACTTACCCAACCGTCGACATAGTGACAAACGCCCACCAGAAGCCATCGAAAGCTCCGCGGTAGAAAGGACGGCCGAACTCTTCTTCATTTTCACCGTTGTCCTTCAACATTTAGTCAAAAAAATACAAACAATTAATTAATGTTTCCCCTATTTCTTGGTTCAATGAAACGCCTCTAGCTTCAATTTATCAGTCACTATGCATTTTTCTGTCGAAATATTAAAAAGGTTTCTAATGCGTCATTGGTGGAGTTGGAAACGATGAAAGCGATAAATGGGAGACAGTACCAGCTGATGTTAGCCAACTTGCAGCAAGTTAATTAAGCAGTGAAGGGACTCCTGTCATGAAAAGCTGTAAGGCCCATAAATAAAATTTTCACACGGGATTTTGAGTTTCAAAACATTCCACAGCCAAAACAATATAAAATCTTTCTGGTAAAAAAAATCATTCATTTACACGTAAAAAAGCTTCAGTGTAAGAAACGGTTCTCCGAGACATTGTGGCATGATCTGAAATAGGGCCACAAACGTACCAATTAAATAAGTATTGCCTGTCAGTTCAATTCAGTCGTTTGATAGAACTCAGTATCGCTCTCTTAAAGTGATCTATATTTAGAAACAACTTTAGGATAAAAAAGAATGACTTTTCTGGCCGCTGTTTCACCTTAAAATCTCTCAACAAAAAATAGACAAGACAAACCACCTTTTTTGAACACGAATGCTTGTCTAAGAACGTTAAATGTCTATTGTCGGAAAACCGCGATGACACTCACATCCTTTCAAGTAAGTAGCTAATTGTGTTTTTACTTTCAAGTAAGAAGCTCCAAGTCTTTGGGCCAATAAAAGCTTTCGTATCCGCTGCCAAACTTTTGTATCTGAAAAAAAAACTTTCCGAGTTTCAATGTGTTATTTTAAATGTAAATGTGGACTTACCAATATCCAAATGCAGATTCCGGCCAAAGAGGACATCAAAAGGCTCAAAACTACGACGGGCCACGCTCCCAAAATAGCTTTAAGCAACTGAGCACGTCTCTCCGTCGTGGTGTGAGAAGGACCTCTTCGAATTATCACAATCCCAGGCGAATCAAATATGTTAATGTACTGTCGGCTACTGTCTATGTACCAGTCTGGTTGAAAAGGAAAACTCAAGCTTATGTCTTCCGTAAGCGCCATGCGTTGAAGCGAAGATGAGTTATCAGACATGGCAAGGTATCGCATTGTCGTTTTGTTCCCCAAATAGAAGTTGCAACACTTTTCCAAAGCGAACTCTAGGGCTTGATGGAGGATCCCGTTTACTTGAGGTTGATCTTCTTTAGAATAATTCTCAAAGGTGAAAGGTGGTTGAAGCTGCCAAGAGACCTTAACTTCGCTTGGACATACTTCACTGTCGCGGCCTTTCTCAGGAATATCTTCTGGATTTTGTATTAGACGCGGAGGCAGTTCATTCTCCATAAACTGCTGCAGTAAAGACGTGTCGGTAGCCTCAAAAATCTCGAAGCTCGCTGCGGCGATAAAAAGGACTGCTAACAACTTAAACTTCATCCTGTTTTGATAACCGCCAGTCGCAATTCAGTTTCAGTCAAGGGCCAATGCTTTATAGAAAGCGATTGCAATATTTTTTGCATTGTGTCTTGGGATGATTTGTCAGTCACATATTGTGACAGTTCTACAATTATGTCCTCGATAATTATTGTTTTACTGAAAGCCAGGACTACTTTCATAATAGCCATTTCCACCATGCGTCATGCGTTCATTTGAGAGGTGAAAGCTGCGAGCAGCTTTACCAAGATGGTCAAGAAGGAACAACACAAACTATTTTAAAAGTCTCCCTTCTTCACGAAAGATAAATACTAGAAAGAAGCTTTGCCTATAAAAAAGCTGGCATACTCATCTAGTCCGGAAAATAAGCTGACGCGGCGCTCATTTACATGTTCAGTTGGAGACGGGTACTTGTCACTTGTCATCCTCCAACTCACTTACCGACTGAACGTTATGAACTAAAAATTCAACTTTATTATAATTAGCATTTCTACTTTTATGAATTTTCTGTAACAGGGTTAGCATGTTAACGGTCTGTTGATTATAAATAGGTAGATTATTCTTGGAATCAAAATGCGAAGAATTTACCCCACGTAAAACCCAAGTTAAGGAGGCAAGTTTAACACTTGCTGAATGTTTTTTTTTTTTTGTTTTATTATTTTGTTTTTGCTCAGACAGTTCTCTTTGTTCTGCTAATACTCAAGGTAAGCTTTTTAATGCACGGCGTCCATTTGGACGGTTTTAACTGGAAACAGCTGCTGGTTCTTACATTGATAAAGTAGAGGGCAAAGTAAGTGAATTGTGATTAGTTCAGAAAGGTGCATATTGTTAATGTATGGTCCTCGAGGGCAAAGTTTTTCTGACGATTGCCCGGGGATCCTCGAAGATTCCAAAAATGACCCGAATACTTCCGAGGATTTCCGAAGAAGGCTTCCAAAGATTGTTGAAGACGATCGGAAGGTATCCGAAAATTTATCGAACTCTCTAAGGCGAGACCAAGAGAATATATTGCTCCAGTTGAGCTAAATAGGAAATCGAGGCTACTGACGATGCATGTTTCTAAATTAACAGGAACTTTAAAGTGCCACTAACCTCAAAATTTTTTTTTTCGCTAATATAAATTTC